CTGCGAGCCGGCCCCTGCCGGGAATCTCTGCCCGTGATGAGCCTGAGGCTAGTGGGCAGCCGTTCCTTGGTTTCTGGGGGAGTTTCTCTACGTGTAACTCTGGATTGTATTGTGTATTGTACTTTCTTTGCATGTATGGTCTCTGGGGGACTCTTGTACGGCGATTGGATCGCCCGGGCTTGGGGGGAGGTGTGACGTGCGATGTGACATCAGGGAGCCTGGCCTAGGCAGCCCGAGGAACTCAATCCCGGGGCGTGGAGGAGCACGCGGTGGGGGACTCCACTCGATCCACTCGCCTCCAAATGGGGGAGTGTTGCTGGGGATGGATGGATGTGTTTGGAGCCGTCGAATCGAGTTGGAGTTGGTCCTGGAGTTGGATGTTGGACTTGGATGGATGGGTGGATCTTGGCTAGACAATAACCTAGGAGGGCGGCTCTAGGGAGAGGGGAATAACACAACAAACACCAGGAACGCCACCCGCCTCATCTGCACCTGTCTCTGGGCGCCTGCGACCAGGGGAACAAAGGTTCTTTGCAACGGCATTCCGTGCCCGAAGTTCGGCGCGTTCCTCTTCCGACATAGACGCTACTTTGACGCTTTGGAGCACGCGGTTGTAGATCGTCCTTCGTTGAGCTGCGGAAAGGGATGGAGTGCGTCGTACCGCGTCCGCCACTGCGGCCTTGGCCGCGGCCGCGGGGCTCTGTTTCGGAATCGCGGTTTCTGGCGGCGTGCCAACGGTCGGGAGAACAGGCAACAACGAGCCAGGGAGCTGACCCGACGGCGCGCTCATCGCGCCGTTGTCCGCGACTACGGCCGGGAGGGGTCAACGCGGTCGGTGTAAGCTTCGTACCGCCTTACCCCATAAACCACTGCACCAGAACCGCCAAAAGAAGTCGCCCTCGTGAATGCTAGGTGCAGAACGGCGACCGCGGCGCAGAAGGCCACCAAGCGACCGCAGGCGGAGACCCTGGTCCGCATTGAACTGCCGCACCCGCCGGCACACAACGGGGCGCAGCGAGCGACACGGAAAGCGCCCCCGTGCAGACGCCGATGCTGCCTGAGCAGAGAGGCACACGCCGGTCGTCCGCACCTCTGGTTCGGTGTTGGCCCCGCCACGGTGATAATCCCTTGCTGAGTGACATTCGTTTTGCCCCCCTCCCCACTTGCCACACACTTTTTCCCCAACCTTTTGACTCGATTTTGTACCAAAATCTATAGTCAAAAGGCACATGGAGACCTGGCTCTGGGCTCTTAGCATCAAGGAGTTCGAGCCCACGATCAAAGCAAGGTGGCAGAAGGAGAAGGCCCTCAACTCCATTGCCAGCTTCATCTCAAAGTCCATGAAGGACAGGAAAACTGGGAAAATGAAAAAGACACACGACGACAATGAACTTTTGTGCAAATAGCAGCAAACTCATGGTGTAGCAGCGGCCAAGCCAGGAGCAGGTCCGGGTCACCAATACTATTCTATTCTATGTTCCACTGTTCAGCAAATGCAGAGCGGCGCCAGAAGCTGCAGACCAGACTGGAAGCACTGGGCCGCGAGTGGAACATGGAGACCTGGCTCTGGGCTCTTAGCATCAAGGAGTCCGAGCCCACGATCAAAGTGAGGCGGCGAAAGGAGAAGGCCCTCAACTCCATTGCCAGCTTCATTTCAAAGTCCACGAAGGACAGAAAACTGGGAAAATGAAAAAGATGCACAACAACAGACTTCAAATTGGCAGCAAACTGATGGTGTAACAGCGGCCAAGCCCGGGGCAGGTCCGGGTCACCAATGCTATTCCACTATTCTATTCTAGGGGAATTTCATCCTGGTCCTGAGCTTCCTCTCCAAGGTTCCTGTGGGGATGAGGTGCCCAGCAGAGGGATGGCTTACAGATGGTGATCCGCAAAATGCCGCGCACAGGACGGTGCCATGGCAGGTGTCAGGTCATCATGGCAGAGGATGGGCAAAACAGTCGGCCTCCGCCAGCTGGGAGTGCTGCTGCTGCGCCCCAGGAAGGGTTCGAACCTTCAGACCGCCTGGCTGCCCCTTGCAGCCAGCAGCTCAGTTCTACAAGCGAAAATGGCGGCTCCGGTCCCAAGCACCATTACCAGGTCACAGGGACGATTTTCATGCGGGTTCTGTCAACCTCCTCCACAACGTGCTCAACGGCATCAACATGGAAGACTAGGGCCAGACACTGGAACGCTTTGGCTAGCTCCCTGGGCTTAGTGCAACAAGCTGCTGGGAGACTCGCAGTTTGGATTCCGTGCATGGAGGTCGACCCTTCATGCAGTACTCCTCGCTGAGGCACTCTCTTCCTTGGCCAAGGCACGCAAGGAGAAGCTGATCGTGGTGTTTGTGGATTCACAAAGGCCTTTGACACGGTGGAGGGCCCGAGGTTGTGGAGGAAGCTGGAGGAGATGGGTGTACCCAAACAGGTTGTTGATATGTTCGAGATGGCGTTTGGGCAGGTGTGGGGAAGGATCCGGGATGAGGACGGCACCAAGTCGGACTTCATCAAGTTCCTAACTGGAGTGAAGCAGGGGGACCCACTCTCATCGCTGTTCTTCATCTCGTTCATCAACGACATCACTGCTTTCATAGAGTAGAGGCCAATGGTGCAAAAGGGATGGATCTGGGCATGGTGTTTGAGGAGGAGGAGGATCAGGAGAGGATGGTCAGCTTGCTGGCTTTGTTCTTTGCAGACGACACCACTTTGATGTCGAAGACGCTGAAGGATGCCAAGATGCAGCTGGATCTTTTGTCTGCTATGCCAGTGCCAATGGGCTGGAGACAACATCAGCAAAACAGAGTGGATGGCCAGGAGGGCACCCCACCGTGTGAAGCTCCTGTACAGGGGCCAGGAGCTGAAGAGGTTCGACAGCTTCAAGCTTCTGGGGTACCAGCTCACCTCAAAAGGGCGGAACAAGGACCATGTGCATGGCAGGGAGGCTAAGATGAATGCTGCTTATGGGCTCTGGTTCCGCGACATCAGGGAGCAGCCTGGGATGAGTCCTGACCTCCAACTCAAGCTCTACAACACGAAGGTCAAGGCATTGGGCCAATATGGGAACCCCTTCATTGTTGAGATGCCGAAGGAGGAGTACGTTGCCGGGGAAAGCACCAGGGACAAAGTGACTTGCATAGCTCTTCGTGCCGTCACTCATCTGCCCAAGTCTACCTCCCTGGCCTGTCTGTATGCGATCACTGGCCAGTACCCGCCCCCTTGCAGTTCATGACCACGAGTCGGCACTCAAGTTCCTCATGCGCATCAAAACAGCGGATCCTGCGCTGTACCTACTTTACAAAGAGCTCAAGATCGAGGCACTGAAGGGGTCCTGGAACTGGGCTGCCTTCCTGAGGGAACTACTTGTATACTATGGCGGCGAAGATGGGAGGGAGATGTGGGAGAAGGACACTTTCTCATGGCCCAAGGAGACTGTGGAGAATCTTGTGAAGGGCAAGTTCAGGGAGATCAATGCCCAGAGGCTCAAGGACAACGACAAACTGCACTTTTGGAGGATGTGTGACATGACCTTTGGCCACATCGGACCATCCCTGATCCGGGTGGAGAAGCACCGGAGGGATGTCCAAAAGTTGCTGTGCTCTACCCACGACCTGGAGGTGGAGACAGGCAGGCACCAAGGACTTGAGGTGCAGCAGAGAACGTGCAAGCATGACCCTGAGCACATTGGAGACGAACAACACTTTCTGTTTCACTGTTCAGCAAATGCGGAGCGGCGCCAGAAGCTGCAGACTAGATTGGAAGCACTAGGCCGCGAGTGGAACATGGAGACCTGGCTCTGGGCTCTTAGCATCAAGGAGTTCGAGCCCACGATCAAAGCGAGGCGGCAGAAGGAGAAGGCCCTCAACTCCATTGCCAGCTTCATCTCAAAGTCCATGAAGGACAGGAAAACTGGGAAAATGAAAAAGACACACGACGACGATGAACTTTGCAATTAGCAGCAAACTCATGGTGTAACAGCGGCCAAGCCAGGGGCAGGTCCGGGTCACCAATACTATACTATGCCTCCAAAAAAACAATGAACGGGTTCCCATATTGGCCCACTGCCTTGACCTTTGTGTTGTAGAGCTTGAGCTGGAGGTCAGGACTCATCCCAGGCTAGAATAGAATAGAATAGAATAGAATAGAATAGTAATTGTTGAGATGCCGAAGGAGGAGTACCTTGCCGGGGAAAGCACCAGGGACAAAGTGACATGCATGGCTCTTCGTGCCGTCACTCATCTGCCCAAGTCTACCTCCCTGGCCTGTCTGTATGCAATCACTGGCCAGTACCCGCCCCCTTGCAGTTCATGACCACGAGTCGGCACTCAAGTTCCTCATGCGCATCAAAACAGCGGATCCTGCGCTGTACCTACTTTACAAAGAGCTCAAGATCGAGGCACTGAAGGGGTCCTGGAACTGGGCTGCCTTCCTGAGGGAACTACTTGTATACTATGGCGGCGAAGATGGGAGGGAGATGTGGGAGAAGGACACTTTCTCATGGCCCAAGGAGACTGTGGAGAATCTTGTGAAGGGCAAGTTCAGGGAGATCAATGCCCAGAGGCTCAAGGACAACGACAAACTGCACTTTTGGAGGATGTAGCATCAAGGAGTCCGAGCCCACGATCAAAGTGAGGCGGCGAAAGGAGAAGGCCCTCAACTCCATTGCCAGCTTCATTTCAAAGTCCATGAAGGACAGAAAACTGGGAAAATGAAAAAGATGCAAAACAACAGACTTCAAATTAGCAGCAAACTGATGGTGTAACAGCGGCCAAGCCCGGGGCAGGTCCGGGTCACCAATGCTATTCCACTATTCTATTCTAGGGGAACATCCTGGTCCTGAGCTTCCTCTCCAAGGTTCCTGCAGGGGATGAGGTGCCCAGCAGAGGGATGGCTTACAGATGGTGATCCGCAAAATGCCGCGCACAGGACGGTGCCATGGCAGGTGTCAGGTCATGGCAGAGGATGGGCAAAACAGTCAACCTCCGCCATCTGGGAGTGCTGCTGCGTCGCCCCAGGAAGGGTTCGAACCTTCGACCGCCTGGTATCGTGCGTAGCAGACGCTAGAAGCCAGGCGCTCTCAATCCACTGAGCTACAAGGGCTAAAATACCGGTTTAAAGGGAGGGTTGGGCTATATGGTGGCATTGTGAAAGCATCCAAGCACCCCGACTCCGGCCTTTCTGCGCGATGCGGCTCCACGTTCAACACCGAGGACGTTGTCGGGGCCCCCGTAATGGTGATGGACGCCGCCAGCCGGCAACCCAGCGCACCCAGCAATGGCAATGTACATCGCCTGCCGGTAACCCAGCCCAGTGCCCAGTCGCAGGGGCCTTGATCACGGTCTCACGATGTCAATGAGAGCCAGCTGTCTATTCACGTCTTTGTTCGGGTCCCGGTCGACGCCTTGCCACCCCTGTTGGCGGCACCGGCCGTGGAACCGCCCCGAGCCGACGCTGCGGGGGCCGCGGGGGCTGCCGCAGGTTCTTCCGCGGCAGGCTGGTCCTTGCCGAGGTTCCCGACTCGAGCCGTCACAATCGCCTTGTTGGAGGCCAATGACGTGTTTCGCGAAGCCGTTTTCGAGGCGGTTTTGGCTGGTCGGCCCCCGTAAGTGACACAACACAGCGCCGGGGCGCGGCGATCTTACCCTGTTGCTCGGCTTCTCTCCTCTGGGCGGCTTCCTCCCTCTGCTTGCGGATCAGCGCTAACCTCGCCATGTCAGCCCTCGCTTGCTCGGTTTGTCCTGCAAGCCGTGGCAACCGTGAGGTCAAGAGAAAAGGTGCTATTCGCACTCGATTCACCTGCCAAGTGTGCCTTCCAGTAGGCTTCCTTGGCGCGCTCCTTCTCTGCTGCCTCCCTGTCGCGGTCCGGTCATGAGATCCGACCTGGGCATCAGCTCGACGCGGAGACCGAACCTCTCGCGCCTGCTCATCTGACCATCCTTGCGAAAGCCGGCTTCGTCGGCATGTGTGTCTCCATCGCCCGCCGGTTTACCAAGATCCGAAAGCTTCGCGCTCTTCTTGGCCCGGTTCGGATTGCTGATCTCGATGAGCGCGGCACTCCCGCCCGGTGCAGCTTTCGGCTGCTTGCCGGCCCCGTCCGGCTTTTCCCCGGAACTGTCCTCCTCAGAGCTTCCCTCCTCATCCGAGGACTCTTCCGAGTCTTCGTCGCTGTCGCTGCCGCTCTCGTCGTCCTCATCCCCGCCCTGGCCGGCTGGACGCGCTCCGCGCCGCTTCTTCGGTTCCTCCTTGTCCTTCTCGTCCTCTATCAGGTTCCCATCGGCATCGAACTGCAACGGCGCCAAGTTCTTCGAAAACTTGTGCCCGCTTCCTCGGTAGTTCTTCTTCCGGCCTCGCATTTCGGCGGTCGCGACCGGGGAGGAGTTCTTTTGCGGATCGCTGGAGCTGTGGGTCCCGCCGCACCCGTCACCGCCGACGTCAAAGCTACTCGGGTTTCCGATGAATCTACACCTTCGTTGCAGCCGGCATTCCCATTACATCCGCTAGAACGAACTCCAGATCCTCGCCGGCGTCCGTCCTCACGATCACCTGCTCGACCAGCCCTTTCTCGTCACTCACCAGCGTGCTCCCCTTCCTGGAAAGAGACCTGCAAGTCAGATGACCGTGATGCGGCACACGCGATATTCAACAACCATGCGCCGAGTGCTGTCCCTATTCGTCTTGATGAAACGGCTCAGCCGAGGTGAACGGGAAATCCATCGACCAACCAACCGATTGCGATTCCATTCCGCCGTGATAGCCCCCTCCTCACCCTTCCAATCCCGGTATCGTGCAAGGTTCTGCCTTCCAATCAGCCGCATGGCCTTGATTCGAAGATCGTTTGGAGACTGCGGCCAGGCGCGCGATGCTTAGTTCGAGGCGAACAAAGAGCCAAGAAGCCGCATTGTACCCAATACGACAAAGGCCGCAGTTCTTCGTCTTCGGCAATCTCGCGAAAGTGTCCGATGCCGTGCTTGGCGATGCCGCGGATGAGAAGCCCGCGTTCCTCGGCTCTCCATACGCGTGAAGCAGACTCTACAGGCTCCGCCAGAGACCGAAAATAGCTTCGGGAGCAGTGAGGAGGCAATTTAATATGGTGAGGACCGAACCAACTCCTGATTGATGCTCCCGTCCTCCAGAACCAGGGGGTTGGTCGGGTCGGCGTTTCCGATGTGGTCTGTCCGGCAGAACTGACGTCCGAGGTTCAATAAACCGGCAACCTGGCGATGACTTCCATCAAGACCTTCAGGCGCATGGCCACGATCCATCTCCGTTTGTCTTCCACGGTTTGGAACGGCGCGTTGGTATCCACGGGGTCTTGCGGAGGATCATCGCTGCCGGAGTCCATCGCCAATCCGGCCCATGTCCCCAAATCAGTGGTTTCCGCTAGGTTTCCTGTCCAAACGACCCCAGAGACTTCTGAATGCAACTCGCGCGAGTCGGAGCAATCTCGTCGGCTTCTGAGAGTGACCTCGGAGGCGACGATAACAACCGCGGAAACGCGTTTACTGGCGTGCGTTTGCGAATATGGCGGAAGAACCGCTCTTTGGCGGGTTCCAGGGGGCATCGCGGCGCGACAAGCTCTTGGAGAACGTCGTCTCGGGAGTCACCATCGCCTTTGTCGGGATCACCGTTCTTTTCTGCATTGTGAACACCGGAAAGGCAGCTGCCCACTTTTTCTTGGGGATTGTCTTGGCTCTTTTGGCCTCGTGTGAAGTTCAGCTCGTGGGTCAAGCTCTGGCTGCAGCTTCCTTGCCGCGGCCCTGATTCCGCTCGTGGCGACCAGGTGCGGTGGTATCGGCTGGGCGATCTAGATCCAAAGTTCAAATGGTGGGATTCTTTTGCGCCTCCCATTGCTCGTCCCCTGATTTGGCGTCTTTCGAAGGCTTATCCTGGGCTTGGGGGCGTCTCTGATCATGCTGGCTGGGATCGCCAACGGTACGGCCTCTAGAGCTTTTCAGCGGACCCCAGTAACGTTCTTAATGACAGCGTACGTGTGGGCACCGGCATATCCGTCTGGCGTCGCCGGCTGCGGCGGGCCCCCGAACCCCGATCTCCATGGAGCTTTGGGACTCTACGATACGGCATCGGCCGAATGCTTCCTCAAATGCGACGGCGGTTTCTTGCTGGACAAGAGTGTCGCGGCTCCCGGCGCTTGCGTACCGAAACCACCAGCAAACTGCACCATGTTAGACAGGAGATAATCAGTATGTACACGAGATGATCAATCAATCAGCATTAGGGATCCACGGCCTTCAGTGCCTTCTCTTCTTCTTGTTGTCCGCACCGGCATAGCTGCCGGCGTTCGTATAGAGTGCCGCGGATCGACACTGCGGGCAGAACCACGCCCCTTTAGGAGGTTCTCGCAACCCGACACATTCGTAATGGAACCACTCTCCGTAAGGGCACTGCTGGAGCGCCAAGTTAGGGCCAACAAGGCGCAAGAGGTTCCGACGGCGCTCACCCCCGCGTTGTCGCAGCCAACCATGTCGCCGAAAGACACCCTCTGGCAGATGCAGTATACCGGCTCCTCCTCCAAATCATCGTCCTCCACCTTGAGAAAGCCATCCAGGTATCCGTCATCGTACTCATCCTCTCTTCGCCGCTTCTTGTTGGATGGCCCCTTCACGGCCGCGGCTGGCGGCGCCGCTTTCCGCTCTGCGGAAATAAACCAAGTAAACGCCCCGTTCCGCGAGCCCAAGGATCCACCAACTCTTGTTGCTCGGGTTTGGCGAAGCTCCCAGCGTGAATGCCAAAGAGTCGTACGCGACGGCCGACGGTTGTGCTATCGTCGAATCAATCGAAGTCGTTCCTCGCGAAATCGAACCCAAACGTTCCGCACCACTAGTGAACATGCTCATCAGCTCGTCCATCTCGTACGTCGGTTGGTCCCGATCCTCCTGCAGAACCAGAGGTGCGTCGAAGTCAAATTGAAACCGCTGCAGCTCCCCATCGAGGCGCCGGATATGAGATTCCAGCTGCAGTGCCGGCGTAAAGTGGGCACGACAATTCATGCCGTCGTCAGCTTGTTGCCCAGTCCGGAAAGGCCGCCGACCGTACCAAGGCCAGAGTCCGGTCCGCGATATCAATCTTCTCGTCCACGAGAACCTTGGCTTGCAGAAAGTCCTTGCGAATGACGCTGGCAAGATCCTCTTCCCTCTGCAGGGTCGAATCGTTCACCGGAGTCTTCTGCAGCCCCTGCGCTTCCTTCAATATCTGCTTCTTCAGGTCTGTTTCGGACCACCGGAGCTCGAGCAAACGTCCCCGAAACAACGTGCCGGGGCTCCTTCTACCTTGAAACATGACGTCCTTCTCCTTAAGTTCCGAAAAGTGGTGCCGAATCTCCGAGGGAAGGTTGTCCACAGCTGTTCCCCGCCAAGCGCGTGGGGGACGGGACGCCGCTGAGCTGACGCATCCGAGGCGAGCGGTGCCAGGCGGACAGTACTGGCAAGAAAATCCTCCAAGAACTCCAAAGCCATCGCCGCGAACCTAGTCCATTCCTCCTCTTTGTGTCTTTAGGTCGGCACCATCTCGGGCGCGGTTTTGGGTCGCGTCACCCCGGCCAGCGGCAGGACGCAGCCAATCCATCCACATTCGACTTCTTCGAGGACCGCAGATCAATTCATAGGACTCCGACTGTGGTCGCATATTAAAGAGGAGCGTTGAATGGCAGTCAATTTACGGCATGTGTGCTCCCTGATACACCCTGCTATCCGGTCTACTTGGGGGGGCTACTCCGCCTAGGGTTTAGCACCGAACGCGAGCGCACATTGATGCCAATGCTTACCGAGGGTTGGTGACGTCGTTGTGGAACAGGCTGCGATGCAGGTCCTGTTAACATGGAACGAGGAAGCAAAACTGGCCACACCAACCTCTTGTCACCGTCGCGCCAGGGGAACTCCTGCAGCCGAGCAGTGCATAGGAAAGCAGGGAAGTTGAAGTGAGCCTGCAAACCGCGAAACCAGCGGTCCGATACGCACCGACTTGCGGATGCCCAGGTGGGGCCAGGCCTTGTACTCGGGCGGGTGCTCGAAGGTGTGCTTGAGGTGCTCCGTCTCCCTGCGGTACACGAAGATGGCGAGGGCCAGAAGGCTGGGGAACACCAC